GGATAGACAGACGTACGAACGTAGACATACGTGGAAATTTTAACTTTATCATTTGTAGGTAACTGTTTCACAGAAAGAATCACTAATATCCTAGTCTTAGAGATTCCTACTTCATAAATATGATAAAGGGATTGATGCATTATGACGTGAAAGATGAAGCCGCTGGATAGTTATATTTCACACTGTACTCTCCCACTCACGCTGGCACAGGCTAAAATACTCCTTAAAACAGGAGAAGCTGAAACCCAGTTGCTCAGAAAGCAATATGAATATGAAGATATCTACTATTTGTTTAGTCTATGCAGAACATCTGGTATGTTTTATTTTCACAATTTTATAGCAAACGCATTACCAAAGAAAGCACAGATAATCTATATGCCAGAGGGACAACTACTACAGAAACATTTACTTAAAAAATCAGGAAATGTGAATTTTACTGTTTCATTTATTTTTCCCCAGGAGATATGGTGGGAGATAGAAAAATACCCATTTGTGGAAGCAGAAATCTTCCATTAAAAATAATGAAAATTCCATCTTATATTTCAAAGATATGTGATCCATATAGCTTTGGAATTGAGGAAAAGTGCAGCAAGCTGAAAAACTCTGTTCGTCACAGTAAAGTTATGGGCATATGAACAGGTGGCTTCTGGTGACGTACGTAAAGACGTTAATAAAGCACAAAGAGAAAAGCAGGTTTTTCTAAGCTGGTCTTAATCATGCTGTGTGCCGCATACGCAGTAGTGGGCAGAACTGGGTTCTTCACCTGGACTACTTCAGAAGACAGCAGCTGCTGGTTGATTATTCCAAAAACATAAAGTCATTTCAAAGGGGTTCAGAAAAACAATGGCAGGTAATACTAAAATGATCTGTATTTGGATCACACTCATTTATGTCATTCTGACAGTAGAATGTGCCTCACAGTTGCTCTTGATCTGAATTTGCTTTGCGCTTGTGTTCTTTCAGAAAGAATCATTTCTGACTTCTACCAACTGTGGAACTCTTTCAACCCAATGTTTCCTTAAGCTAAAGTCCCTGGCCGAGGCTTTGGGTCTTCCCCGCAGTGTGAATAGGGAGAGTAAATCCGTGTTAAGCTGCACCTTATGGCCCAAGCAGTGTTTTCCCCCTATTTGCACTGCCCAGGGTTAAGACTGAGATGGGCAGCTCTCCTTGCGATATCCATCTCTGTGAGTGCGTATGTCTCACTTAGAGCTCCATCAAATTGTCCGGGATTGTGGCTCCACGCCGGAATCCTCTACTAGATTGCTCATCTTGGGCACCTTTTCTGAGCAGTACAAACAATAGTGGTGCATTTCACATTCTGCTTCACCTTAGACTTGATGAAACTTGGTAATTTATTGAATTACAGATTTTTTAAAAAGTCGACATCAGCACATCCATCAAAACTTAAGGCTCCTCTTCGAGCTGAATGCTCACATTCATATGTGGAAGAGGCTACGGCATAGATCATAATAGCACTGCTCCAAAAAACTAGATTTATAGCTCTTTAGACCATAAAGATGGCAGTGCCAAAGATATTTTATAAAATTTGAGAATGATGTTGATGCCAACCAAGACATAAATTGAGATGGGCTAGCTGTGGAGATAATTCAGAAGATTGGATTCTGTGAAAATTTTACTGCAAGATGCTAAAAAGGAAATGCGTGTATGTAGAACAGCCAAGAAAACTATTAGGAAGTGAAATTCAAGGATGCCATTAAGCTAGAAGATAGGACATAAAATACTTCAAAGATCCAGAAATCTAAGATGGATGTTATGACTTTTTACAAAAATATTGGTACTTATGGTGTAGCTTTTTCCTTTCTGGATACATAAATCATAGTATGGCTCATTTTGGTTTATAAGGCCGGGGAAATGGGAGATAGTTTGAGGTCAATTGACTTGGCTAGTCATTCTCCTGAATGCTAAGTTGGACAAGCTCCAATTTTGAGCATAGCAATTATTTTAGGGCAGGGAACGGGCTGGAAACAACCTGAAATTCCTCTTTAGCGTTCTGTATGAGGTGTGACTAGGAAGACGGATCTACCAGTGCACACCCTCTCTGGGGTTTTACACTCAGAGCTTTCTAGGGGAAGGGTCACCGCTGATGAGGCAGAGTGTGCTGGACATTCCAACTTCACCAGGGCCAGTTCACCACCAATCTTGCTTTGCAGGAGAGGGAGCTGAGTACTCAGTGGGTGTTCAAGTTTTCATCTCCAGTGAAATTTCTTTCAGCTTAACTCAGAGTTATTTTATGTACAGCATCTGTATTAAAACCTCGGGACATGTAAAATATAAAGTGTTACCAAGTATGTTTACCATTACAGCTGGAAAGGATCACACCAAAGTGTGTAATTTGGTTTCACGTTGCTTAGCAGCTTTCTGTGAAAACATCTCCTATCTTTATGTGTTTCCACATGAGCACATACGCTTTACTGGATGTGAGAAGTGACATTAGCAAGATGAAATACATGATTTAACAGGGTTGCACTCTGGATTATTGCCCATTTGACTTTCAAATATTGCCATTGACTGCTCCAAGGTAGAATACGGAGGCCTCCAGTAAGACCGGGCCGGTCAACTTGGAGTGCATTACTTGGCTCCCAAACACTTGAAATTCACTGTAGTCTATGTACGCATGTGTCAGGTGTGGTCAGTCAGCCACAGAAGCAGGCCAGGAACAGAGAAGCCTTCCTAGAGAGAACACGCTATCAGCACACAGATTCCTGAGCTGCTGTGTCTTTCCTCCCCCGTGTCAGAAGCAAGTAGGATTGTTCACACGCATGTGCAGATGCACACATGGGCACACACATGCAGATCCAGTAACATTAAACCACACCAATTCCTTTACTTTATGAGGTATGCATTCTGATCTAAGATTTAGGAGAAAATTTTATTTGCCTTTCTTTACTTTCTAAAACGAAGCAATTCTAGATCCCTAATTCTCACAGGTGTTTCTCACTTTAATTCATCAAAACACACCTATAATCAGAAATGTTCCCTAAACCCCATTCATTGGATGATCAGCAATATTCAGTTATCCAGCCTCACTTTCTTTTCAGCACTGGGGTTTGAACCCAGGACCTCACACATGCTGGTCAAGTGCTCTAACACAGACTTACATTTCCAGAATTTCCTTTTCGTCATTTTTTTTAATAGACACTCATTACTGTAGTATAACTATTATTTCGGAATACCAACTGCATCTATAAAGGAACTACACTGCTAAACAAATGGATGCATCGGTAAGATTATATAATCTCTAACAATTTCAAAGCATAGCACAGTGCTCCATGTACTCTGTATAAGTCATTGTTATTAGTTAACTGATAACCTCAAAAGATGTTTCTTAGAAGAGATTTCATTTCTGAATGATAGTAATATGATAATATATAACTGAAACATTTTTCAGAACTAACCGTATCTTCTATTTAGTTTAAACCCTTGGGGAGAAAGGTGTGCAAAAGAAAAAATAGCAAGGTGACTACTTATAGTTGAAATCTCTACATCATTCATTCAAAAAATATTTATTGAATACCTACAGCCTTCCTGATGTCACATCTGATGTAGCCCTAGAAATATAACACCCACAAATAACAAAGTTCACATTGATATGAAGACTAAAGTCTGATTGGAAATGAATTCTAATTACATCCTTCTGCATTTTTACTTCCAGTTATTATCTTTAACTCTCCAAATCTAAGCAAATGGATTATTTGAAATGATGAATTCACATTTCTTAATTCTTCTTCTGAAATAGGGCTGGTCACAATTCAATAGCTCCACATGACATAGATGGAAGACAGACGCCTGACTGAACGTGCCCTTTGATAATTTCGGGAGGGTGTGTCAGTGAGGGCACCGTACCCACGCAGGGACAAACAGCCACCAGATGAGTGTTCTCCTTTTTATTTAAAAGGAAAACAGTGACCGATGGGAGAACCCTTGGGGAGAAAGGTGTGCAAGCAAACTAAGTCTCATTGGCTCCTCTCATGGCTGCCCTGTCCTGCTGCTGCCATTTCCCAAGAAATTAGGTCTCAGCACAGTAGCACGAGGTCTGCACACCTCACCCGCGCAGCACGGCAGGGGGCGCTGTGTTGCAGGGCGTCACTAGATTGGCACACAGCCTGGGAACTACATGTGGCGGTGTCTTCCTGATGTTCATTGGCCATGGGATTCTAACCACGTGAGTAAAACCTTAGAGATGGTGTTAGGGCTGAGAAAAAGCCATCCACATAGACAACAGGAGGATTATGTTTCCTTGCAAGGTTCGAGTTGAGCTTTCAGGCATTTGTAATTGAGAAGTGTTCATTAGCTGTCATTAACAGGCTCGTCCAGCAGAGGGTAGCGCAACTTCATTATTATTTTCATAAATGGTTGAAGTGGGCAGAGTGAGCTATGAGCACAGTTTTACTGCATTTTAAATAAAGATGAACAGATGTTTCAGCATTAAGTAAATAACCGTGACATTAAGCGGGTCTCAGCCTCCTCCAGGAAGCCCAACCCGACCAGTGCTGCAGTGTGAATTCCGTGCACACCCGACCAGGGCTGCAGTGTGACGGCGCCGTGCCGTCTTCTACTGCACTGTAAAGAGGGGTACCGCTCCCCTCACCAGCACACAGAGGGATGATTCTCATGCTAGGTTTAAGACTATGTTCTTCTTTAACATATTTAAATGGACATTTTTATTGTCTACTCTGCTCAGGTTGCTACTATTTATAACATATATACTTAAACCTGGTCTCTTCCTGTGCATCTGAGAAAGCTGAGCTGTACATTTCAGCGATTTCTGAAAGCTTGAATTCCTCGTACCTATGGTATTGAAATACTTCTCCCTGCTTTGTGTGCTTTAGCATTTCCTTTCTGCTGGATTTTCTTTCAGCTCAGTTGCTTTTCTTCAAGCATTCTAGGAGAGACGTGTGCATGGCGTGTATGTGAGCTAGTGTGCACGCGTATCAGGAGAGCTCAGCAGAGCAGGGCTGAAGAGCAGACCCAAGACTCACCGTGGTGCTGTAAGTCTGAGCAGTGCGTAAGCGGATCTCCATTTCTTATGTCTTGTCGTCTTGTGCGTCTACAAAAACGACAAGTCAGAGGCATTAGTGAAGGTCTGTTATTCTCCACAGGTATTCGTGATAAGCATCAGCATCTGTACCGAATACTCCAGGAACTCGTAGGAAGAGATGCATTTGCATCCAACGGAAAGATCTTTACAAGCAGTTCATGCACCTGTAAGAGCAATGAAGAAGACGGGAAACAAGTACACAGATGTACTGATGATGATCTAAAAGCCTTTTAAAGTACAGGGCAGAAAATTTATGGGTTTTTGCTGTCAGATATCAGATAACAATCCTAACATCCATAAACTCTAGGCTTAACTTCCAAGAAAAAACCCACAAAATTTGGAATAGTGGCCCATTTCCTCAACAAACTTTATTTATTAAGCCTTCATCAAATTTTATTTCTGATCATTAGTGTGGGAGTAAGCATGACTAAGGCTCATTGTTATCTTTTTCTCATGGTCTATGCATAATTCCTTAAATAAACTTGTAAATTTTTAAAATGTTAAAACTGACCATTCTTTCTTTCTGTTTTTTGTTTTGTTTTGTTTTGTTTTTTTTGTTTTTTCTGTTGTTGTTGTTTTTTCTCAGGTACCGGGAATCGAACTCACGACCTTGAGCTTGCCAGGCAGGCGTGTGCTGCTGAGCTAAATCCTCAGCCCCTGGCCATTCTTTCCTTAAATTCATTTTAAAATTTCTTTTTGCATTGTTATATGATAATATTAAGAAGTCTCCTTAATTTTCACACAGTTATGATGGCAGATCAATTTATCTGTGAATGGAATAGAAAAACAAGCACAAATGTTGACCCTAAAGGGAGGGCCTCTTTGTGAGACAATGGTTGAGAGGAGAGGTGAATTCATCTCCAAATTTGTGTACAAAAATTAACGTTACTGTCTTGTCCAGCCTGCAGCTCCGACTGTACATTGGGTCACTGATGTTGACATGCTCTTTGTCCACTTTGCTGATGGCGGGTGCCAGGAGGGACAATCCAGGCTCTCACCATCAGGGAGCTGAGAAGCCAGCCTGGACTGCAGCTCCACACAGGAGGAGCTACGCGAGCTGACTGGGGAGGACCGAGCACCCTGGCCTGCTCGGTCACCATCCCTGGAAAGCACTCTCACGAAGCTATGAAGAACTGCAAATATGGGATTTGCTACTAAATTCATAAATTTAGCAGTCTAAAGTATTTATAGAGTTCTATTTGCAGAATTAGAGAGTCTATCAAACAGATGTTGCGCATTTCAAAATTGAGCCAATAAAAGAACTTGTGAAATATAAGCCAGAAAGCATTCAGGAAGGCATTTTCACTGCTATTTAAGCTTTTCAAAAATGCCCTCCCCAAAATGTATACATTGAATGGCCTCGAAACGCCCTTCTCAAAGACAAGGCGAGGCAGACACATGAAATTGGATTAAGTGAAATCTGTAAGGCATAACAAAAATGTGTTGATGAAAATCCCTTCAATCTGGAACTGCAGGTATATAAAAAACACAAATACATAATATATAGGTTTTAAGTTATTGTAAAGTGGTTGTGATTTTCTATCTCCTTTCTTATTAAGAAAAGCTTAACATTTAAATAGATAATTACTTGTTAAGCAGTGCCATACACTTTATCCTATAAAGGGAATAATATTCAAATTTAGTTCAAACATGAACTCTCCATGTTTTAAATAACAAAAATCCCCCTTAGAGCTAAATGCTTTTAAGAAACATATAATTTAAATTTAACTGTTGGCCATATTGCTGTGAAGACTGCATAGTACTATTTATTAAACTATTCCTGCTTCCTTTAGTCAATAAATAAAATTTCCATATTGTTTTCTTTTTCAATTGAAAACTTTAACAAAATTAGTTGGTGTATGCAAGCAGTACAAATCATACCAGTGATGGAAGCTGCCACATTTGTATGGAATGCTGAAGGCTAAAGAAAATGTATATTTAATTTGGTCATTGTGGGTACTGTATTTACATTTAATATTAATCTGACACTGTGTTCTAATCTACATTGCAAACTTTAGTTTGGATTGTTTAACATTCAGTGCTATCTAAAATTTGTAATGCAAAGGTTTAACTAGCAACTATGGCTATTTCTTTTCCCTGATGTTTTCCCAATCATGTAAAGTAGCTCCTACTGCATAGGACATATCTTATTAGTTATGCAAAAGTCACTTTCATAGCTCCTTTCAAAAGACGAGGGACAATAAAGAATAAGCAAAACAAATTATACTGCTCTCACAATGCAGTGCATTGATAATGCTGGTTTCTACGCTGTTTCAGTGTGTTGATGCGCATGCTTTAATCTTTAGGTCCCTATCCTTACAAGATACTGTACTTCACCTTCTGCTATCACTGCTTCTGTCTTAAACACTGGTGAATTTCAACAAAGATAGCCCTCAATGAAGAGTAGTAGGTGTGTGGATATGATTACTTCATTTATTTTGGTCAAATATTGGAAGTGTTCTCCTTGCTAAAGGACAGGCAAATCAATTTGCCTATATCATTTAGATCTGTCCAGTTCTCTGCATCATAACTGCATTTCCTGCCAGTGGAGCTTTATGGATCAATTAGGCAGATGTTCCTAATGTATTGAGTCTTGTAGGCCATATCTTGTAGTTACATTTCATCTAAATGTACTGTTGAAGGTAACTTTCTAGTTATAACTTGGTCACTTTTGTTCAAGAATTTTGCCCAAAATAATTTTAAATTCTATGAAGAATATATTTAAAATATATGTGTACTACATATATATAGATAGATGGATATTTTGTTGTATGGTTTTATGTTTCCAGTTCAACTCTAAACAGAGTATGATGCAGTACTAATATTTAAATTTTCTTGGGTCAAAAAAAAAGATAGCTTCTGGGGTGATCATTAATCAGAATTATATATGTCACAGAAAAATGGGATCTTTTCCAATCTAGAAAAATAATTTGAGTTTTTTTATGATTAGATTCTTGTATGCTCTGTACAGCACCAAAGATAAATAAATTCCTTTCTCTTAGAATTTTCCATCACGCAGAAAAGTAAACTGCCTTATTGAAATGTGGAAAAAGGACAGATGTTGCCGGGCAGCAACAAAGAAGCATTTTTGGATAAGTATATTTTGGTCCAAGAGAACCAGACTTCGCTCAGTTTCTTTCTTCACTTTCTCTGCCATTTTGACCTTACATTTCTCCCCGTGTAAAATAAAGTCACAAAACTAGAATTTCCAAGTATAAAAATCCAGGACATTGTCACTCTGCCTTAAACTCCCTCAGGTCTTTCCTGAGGCTGTCACGCTGTATGGCTTGCAGGACTAGGCTGCCCCTCTGCAGTTTGCTGGTTATTTTGATGGTTTTAAGGAAGGAGAGGGGAAAAAAGAAGGAAAGGAGAAGGTGCTCGCCACCCCACCTGGAAACCTGATTTACAGTGGGCAGGCAAGGCGGTGGGCTCTGAAGGGAACCCTGCGTCAGCACCGCTGTCCAGCCCTTACCTCTTGGCCGTGGGGAAGTAGCGCGAGCAGGAGGCCCCATCCCAGGCGCAGTAGGGGTCCCTGGCCAGGCAGCACTCGGCACAGGCCTTGCCGTAGATGTCGCAGCGGTGCAGCGGGAGCTGGGCCACGCCTGAGGCCGAGCCAATGTAGAGCTGTTGCTGTGGGGGGAGTGGAGCGTCATGAGAAAAATGGCCTGGGCCCGGAAATCTCTCCTCCCCACATAGAAAGTTCACTTATTCGCACTCATCAGTAGTGTATGACAGACGGCAAGAAGCCCCATTATCCACAGCTCCTTACAGACTTTCCAGAACATCCTCTGGAAATGGAGCAAGAGCAAATTCTAAGCATTTGACTGAAATGGGTGTTTTTGTTACGTGTAAAACAAAGGGTAGTTAGAAATAAAGGACGAGCACAGACTGAGCAATTGCAAGGCTCAGGCCTTTTGTTTTCATGCTTACCCAGTGCTTTGTATACAATTTTGACTACAGTGCTGGTCTCCATGGCCACGTGCTGTGGGCAGGAGGTTACTGACGCAGAGCTCTGGGCCTGAGCATCTGCGCCTGCCTGGGATGTGCCAGGCCTCTCCTGAGAGGAGAAGGGGAGAGTGCTGGGCTCAGTGCAAGATCACCTGCCCTGCACTACCTCCAGGAAGACTGCTTGGACCTCATCCCAAGTCTGTCTCGGCCAGAAGATCCTCAGAGGGGCAGCAACGGCTCTGGCACATGCACAATGGCAAATGTGGGGTGCAGGGAGGAGCCCTGCATGGGGCACTGAGGCACCGGGACTCTCCATCCTGCCCTGCACCTGTGTGAACTCTGGGATTTGGGGTATTACATAACTTTCATAAGAATTAAATTCCTTATCCATAAGATGAGCATGTTCTACAGATTTTAAAAGTAGGCATCCAGATAGAAAGTCCACACCACCATTCTCCAGCAATGAGCCTGGAGTTGCTGAACATGGTATATCACTGTCAGGGTGGAGGCGCATCTTGGCTGGCTTTGGGATCTGCCCGGAAGAGTGTGCTCGGAAAGCCAGCTTCTCTGTGTGTCAGATTGTGTGGCCTTGGAGACTGCATCTGCCCTGGCCCCTTCTTCTCCGCCACTGTGCCTCTGCTCTGCTTCCTAAGTTGCCATGAGCTAAGAAGCAGTTTTGCTCCCTCACACCCTTTCACCATGATGTTCCTGCCCTGAAACTAGCTGACCATGAACTGAACCATCTGAAATGTTAAGCAAAATTCATCCTCTTCTGCCAGGCCTGTGGCACATACCTGTAATCCCAGCACTTGGGAGGCTGAGACAGGAGGACTACTGCAAGTTCCAAGCTAGCTTGAACTACCTAGTGAGACCTTGTCTCAAAAACCAAAGTAATTAATTAATTAAACCTCTCATCTTTCATATTGTGATCTCAGGTATCATGTATCAGTGACTGACATGCTCAATGAAGCACAATATGGAACACTGCAAAAAGAACATAAAAGCTCTGTAGGAGCTATGACCTTAGGATTTCTGTACTGTGTTCAGAATGCTCAAAGTTAAGCCAGTGTAACATGTCGCCACAGAATTATGTAAACAAAAAATGAGATAAAAAATTTTTGAGATTTATCTAACGTGTATTATAATTTTATCATAAGTCCTTTTACACTAGAGGGCTGATTAATTGTAGTGTCTTAAACAAAGATTATACAAACACTGAAACATGTAACAATACACAGGTATCAGGCTTCAAAACTGAATCTTATTTTCTCCAGTATTCTGTATATGAAAAATAAGTTTCAGAAAAGCCTCATTGCAAACAATGGCATGCTCCTTTAGCATTACAAATTGCCTAATATTCAGAAATGATTAATAATTAACATTGCTTTTTCAAAGACTTTCATTCATGAATTACTTCTATAAATAAGCAAATAAGGTGAGTGGAGATTGAAGGATCTAAGAAATTAAGGTGGTAAGGAGTGTTTATGTAAAAAATAGTTCAGTGCTTAAAGCCAACCAACAGACTTACAATTTACTATAAAAAAGGAAAGTAAGAGGGAAAGAGTAATGCCACCAGAACTAAACCATGTGGAAGCATTTACCCGAAGAGTCATTGCTATTCTTTTTTTTTCTTTCCTGGTACCAAGAATCAAACTCATGACCTTGCGCTTGCCAGGTAGGCACTGTGGCGCTGAGCTAAATCCCCAGCCCCTAGTCATTGCTATTCCACTAAATAGGAAAAGCAGAATTACAGAGTATTTTACTAGGTGCTCGACTCTGTAGTGTGTTCCTTTGTTCCCATTTTCATCTTTAGTATTACACTGAGTGATGCTCTCAATCAGGACAAATTAAGAAGTGACGGTCAAATGCCTGGAAGGATAAGGAAAATACCAATTTTTCTTCCTTTTAGTTTGCCTTCTATGAGCCTCCTTATTTTTGTAAAAATGAACAAAGCACTTTCAATGAGACAAAATGAAAAGAATCCACAGTACTTAGACAAGGAAGGAATTCTGTAGAAAGTTCTAGCCAACATCCAGCAGTGTGGTCAGCAGTTGTGTAAATGGACATGCCACTCTGTGTGCCGTAACCCTAACTAGTTTGAAAGCTGCTGACCAGATGGGTGAGGCAGCACAGAGTTCTCTGCATTGGGCCATTAACTTTTAAGAATCATAAGCCAAATTCATACTTAGAGATTTATGGCACAAGATATTTGAGAAGGAAAAGAACTGTCCAACTAAAATAACTAAGTCTATCACGATTCTCTAGGAGAAAAACCGAAAAGTAATGCCTAGGAACAATAGAAAACCAAAAAATATGACAAATAAAATTATTGTAATGAAAATCTGAAGATGCCAAAAATTAAATGCAACTCAATGCTTTTTTCATTTTATCTTAATTCTGCAGGATTGCTAATTATGTGCAAAATAATAAAGCTACCCAGGTGAAATACAGGGGAATAAGGCAGGCCTCACGGAGCAAAATCCAGTCACCACCAAGACATATTTTCTGCCCAACTGAACACCACCACCAGCCTTTACTCTGTGATCCTCCCAAGTGGACCCCAGCAGGATTTGTGTCCAGTTACTCAGAAATCACTTTTAACATTACTTGTCTCTCTTCAAAATACTGCCTCACTTAAAAAGATGCCTAAAAGCAAGGATAAAATTGTATCCTATCTGAATGACATCTAGTGTCTTCCAGAAATGGAAAATGGAACTTGTAGGTTAGGGACATTTTATTCTACAATGACATTTTCAATTTATAAATTGCTTTTGTTTGCTCAGTGGTGAAAATTTGAATTTGTAGAGAATCTTTTAGGTTGCTTTAAACATTTTTTTTTTTTCTTCCGGTACCAGGAATCGAACTTACAACCTTGCGTTTTCCAGGTAGGCGCTGTGCCACTGAGCTAAACCCCCAGCCCCCCGCTTTAAACATTTTAAAACAGAAAGAAAATATTTTACCAGACTAAATGTGGAGGTAATGTAATTAGGCTTGGCTATGAAGCCTAGCAGAGAATAAATACATAATTTAAAAAATCATTACAGGAAAGAGTATCCCAGTCTAGCTTACATCCTGGAAATCCCCGGATTTCCCTGCCAACATGTGCCAATTTTTAGATTACAAGAACAGGTGAACACATACTCATGCAGTATAAGATGACAGTGTCTGGTCAGTCCTCCTCATGCTGATTTGTTCTGAGTGTCTTGGAGATTAGCAATCTATTTTAATATGTCTATGTGGGAAGGGTACACATTGAGTTTCACTGGCATAGACCTTAGAGTTTCCTTCAAGGCATAAAGTGTGAGAGAGCACAAGAGAAAGAGATACGAGCCACATGAGACAGTTTAAGAGTCAGATTGGCCAAGTGATCTTACAGTTTAGTTTGTACTTAAGGGAGAGGCATGCTACTTCCCTCTGGATTTTCCTTTTAAACTGTTGATAATTAATTCCAACTCAGTATCCAAATGCTTTTCAAATTGCACTTGATGTACCAGGTTAAAGACTAGATAACTTTTAAAAGGAAAAGGAAATTTGTTAGGAATTTAAATACTATACATGTGTTGTGCATATTAATCAGGATTTAGAAGTCGTGTGTTTCTAAATGTCTTGCCAAAATACTCATTCAGTATGTATGGAAGGGAACCCAACATTCTCTATTTATTCTTTGAGTTCATGGAGTCTTAGAATTTATTACTGAGGAGAGATCACTTTTCTATTTTCTTTTTATGTTTAGTCAAATTTAAAGTCACATTCTGTTTTTACTAGCACACATTACTATTGAAAACGTAAAATTAACTTTTAAGTCAAGATTCTCCAAACATATATACCAACTGCTTAATTTTATTAGCTTATAAGTATATTTTGTTAATATATTTAAAATAAAATTAAATTATAAATTTATTCTCAAATAGCCATTAATGCTAGTTTTGAAGTACATATATAGAATTCATAAAGGATGAAAATAACTATTGAGTAAGCGTAAACTGCATTATAATGTCTGCAAAAAGAATGATGTGAATTTAAATAATGATTCAGGAAATATGTTTTTAAGACACAGATAATTATCAAAAACATAAGGGAAAGGAAAACTATTTTCAAAAACTATTTAAATCTAGGAGCTTATTTTATCAATGGTATTTCTTTTCTCATGGCTTCTTTTCTTGTACAATTGTCAACAAAACTAGAATATTTGAAGCACAGAATTAACAAAATGATATTGATTGTAACAAGTAACGACAGTACCTGCTTAGGGGAAAGTTCCATTGCTGAGATAGTCGTTGGTTCCTACAGAAGAAAACACATAAAGCATTTGGTCAGTAAGAAGAGTCATTAATTAAGGCATTAAGAGTAATTAATTGAGGTATATGCAATAAAAAATTTCAGATAGGAAACTAGTGCTCAGAGGAAGCAATATAATTGGAAATAAGGCACATGGAAGAAGCTGCCCAGATCAGCGTGTGTCCCATGTGCGGAGCAGACAGGCAGAGCTCCTGGTCGTCTTCCTGTCAAGGACCACGCCACACAGGCAACTGGTCATGCAGGGCTAGGGTGGGACTGCCTGGAAAAGGGGGCTGGAAGGACTGGGGCAGCGGGCTTGCTCAAGGTGACTGGAGAAGGGCTTGTAAAAGCAGGGTTCTCTCTGCTTGGATGCTGTCTAACAGCCAGGGTCAGCCCGTGATTAGCGATCTTCATGAATCATTCAGAAGGTGGGAAGGACAGAGAAAAGATCAAGCTCTGACTGGTGTAGACGAGGCCATCATTCATGTTAGGCAGGATAGCGGGTATTTGGTCATTTCATGGTTTGAACAAATGTGCATGTTTTGTCAGCTCCTGGCACCACTGGTGATGATATTGGGCCTGGTTCCAGCTGTCAAGGACGGCAAGACTCATGAGCTGACTTTATTGTTCTCACAGTGACGGTTTCCTGCCTCCATAATTCAGATCTTCCCCAACAATACACCCTCATCCACACCCATCAACATGCTAATGTGCAGTAACATAGCTGATCACCCAGGAGTCGCCATCACCAAGGAACGCGGTCAGTGTTCAAACTGGAGCACCTTGTGAAAGAGTTCAGCCTGCATAAGCGACTCTCGCTCCTTGACTCGTGGAGGCCACTAACAGCTACATAACTGAACATATTAGTTTACAATATGATTGAAAAATAGGTGAATATTTAAATTTTGTAGAAGAAATTATTACGGTAAAAGGCACATCGCCATGAATCCCCCTCAAAGTCCTCCCCCTTGCTTCAGAAACCCTCTTCCCATTGTTCTTGTCGCTTCTGAAGCGGCTGCGGGATCCTCTTTCATGAATGTCTGTGTTTGCACTATCATGGCTGCTTTGATGTCCTGAGTCCATTCAAAACATTTCCCTTTGGTGGTCATTCTGATGTGGAGAAGACCCAGAGGTCCATGACGTCAGATCCCCTGAATAAAGTGGATGAAGACACACTGATATGCTACCAGCCTGCCTTTCCGTTGGGTGGCACTCAGCGGCAGTGCTGACTGTAGTTTTGGTCATGTCTGGTAGAGACACTCACAAAGAGAACTTCCAGAGCTGCTTCAGAAGGTGAGGAGAACAATGGGATCCAAGCAGAGGGAGAGTTAGTGAGAACATGCCCTTTACTGTGACGGCTGAACATCTGCTGTCCAGTTGATCACCCTCATGTCGCCCTCCAGACCCAGTGCCTGGGAGCACCCTTCCATCCTCTCATTCAGCTGTGAGGACATGCGGTAAGAGGAGTGCTTAGATTTCAGACCGGGCTGATGAGGGCAGAGAGGCGCCTGCATAGGTGTCTGAAGCTAGCACTAAAGAAAGTGTGAAGAGTTGGACCCTGACACCACTGAACTGAGCCTGTGACCCCTGCTGTCAGGCGCTTGGCCGGGATTGCAAACCCATTGTCACCCAGATCCTCTCTCAACACAGAGTGATGGTCCCTTCTTCATTACTTATTGAGAAGAATAATTAGTTTATACTTGCAAAACACTTTACAAGAGTGCTTGGTGCATCGTGTCTGTCAAATCCCTCTTCCCCTCTATACCATCTTCTCCTCTTCCTCTCTCCTCTTTCACACACACACACACACACACACACACACACACACACACACACACAAAGTCTAGTTCTTGCTTTTTCTCTTTAGTGCATATCACCAATATCTACTGATCTATCTAAAATGTATCTAATGTCTGGTGATTTTCCTTACTCCACCCAAAGTGGAGTCTGAAGTGTGATTAGAATGGAAAGTTGAGGGCTGACAGCAAGATGGGAAAATCACTTACTAGGGTGTTATAGAAATTGCCACTTGAGAAAATCAGACAGATGAGGACATTCCAAATTGTGTGTAGATACTTGCATCAGGATAAGTATAGTTGCTCAGGGAAAAAAGTCACCAGCTCCCTCATGTAGCTCACTTGTGCTTTGGGGGTCCTGTCAGAGACAGGAGCAGGCAGGGCCAAGGCTGATAGGACAGGAGCAGGGACAATAGCTCCATCTTGCAGGATTTATCAACTGGCTCCCTCAGTGTGAGTCCGGGATTTGGGTTGTTTAGTTCACCGCCATGCTCTTAGTGGTGATGATTACACAGCATATTTACAAGTTGTCAGTGAATACTTAAGTGAATGGATGAATGATTTCTCCACCAGTTTTCCTCTGTCCTATCTCTTCAACTTTCTGCACCACACTCTATCCCTTCCGCTTTATCTCTACCCAAGGTAGAGGCAGCAGTCTCCTACAGCATCTTCCCTTGGGCTCCCACTTAGCTGGCTTCCCTACCAGTGGTCTGCACACTCTGTGGTCACTGCTTGCATCTCCCTCACCTGATATGACCCCTGAGTCAATCCGTCCTGCGAGGGGATCTGCTGTCCTTGGAGAAGATTTCACTGATGAAGTCTGGCCCTCTGAGGGCATGCTTTTCTGGCTGAACTGTTATTATTGGTCTGTATTTTAGGTGATGCAGTTCAATACTTCTTGACTGCCTCCTCTGTTCTAGCCCACTGTGCCTTGGAATTCTTCACCGACCATCCGAGAGCCTCCCTCGGGGTTTCTCACCCTCGGCCATTCTTAGCACATCTGTGTCCCACTCACCGCACTTTCCCAATCTTTCTTGGCTTTGCTGTCTTCTTCCCTGGCTCACCCTCTCCTGCATGGCTAACTACTGGCTCTTGGTGCCAGAAACCCAAGTCTCTATCTGAACCCTAAATAGCTGACCTGAGAATAGGATTTTCTTAGCAAATTTAACATAACTTGCTTGTGAAAAAAATGAGACAGATGATGTAGAATATGTACCAGTTAGTGCAATAATTTAGAGATTTCCACTTGCTTTCCATTTTTCCAGTTTAAATGAATGATCCTAATTATTAAATGAACAACTTTTCATAGGTATTATCAATTATAAAGACAACTATCATGAGAGTAATGTCACCAAATTTTATCTCTATTGGGATATGATCTTTAGCAGCTAGTAGCATCATTGAATCAGAAATTAAAGGGGATAATTAATCACAAATACTCAGCTTTGAAATACAAAGCTGAAAATAAGATTCAGGCTTGTATAATACTGGAATAAATTTACCAAAGAAAAATTTAGAAGCTTTGGGAAACCTTCCATGGTAATTTCTTCCATTGCAAAAGGTCACATGAAAAATAGTTATGGGATTATACAAGCAGCTGCCTTCGTGCAGATTTTCACAAAATTTTACAATCAAGGTGCAAGGAAAACACTTCTCAGAGGAAATTTATACTAGTGTAATTGAAGTGAAAATTAGCTATGTCTAAGTTCTTTATAAAAATGAAACTGATTAATATTCATTTACTTTATGTTCCTTGCCAACACAAAAACATGGATAAGGCAAATGCAAATAAAATATTTCATATACAAATTATAAAACATGAAAAAAACCCTAACATGCACCAGACTCCATGGTATCATATTATGATTTCAACATTCTTAAATTAAGGTCCTAGAATTAATACCAACTTATTTATAATTTAGACCAGAAAAGTAGTTACACTCTGAAATAGTATGCTCATCCACTGCCTATAGTTGAATTTTAATAGACAATATATTAAGACACCATCCACTTAAATAAGCTATATTTTTTTCAGAGAAATCACTGGTGGTGAATATGACTTCCAATTAAAACAGATGTAGCTTCATAAGCATTTTTTATGAAACTCATTTCAATTGCAAATTCAATGGGTGCTCATGTAAAAATGAAATTAAAAACTTAGCCTCTTTTCAAGATCTTCAATGACTCTAATTTAACATACTTTTCCAGATATTTTAATCCAGTCCTTATTAAACTTCTGCTTTTGCACTTGCAAAGCAGCTCAACCTGCTGATCCCAGGCGCTTCCACTGCAGCTCGCTGGATGGGAGTCTGCGGATGCTCCCTGAGAAGGCTTTAACAGGAGAGGCTTTGGACAGCAGCACTTGTGCTTCACATCTGAGTGGAAATTAAACTCTCTCACTTGTTTGCTCAGCTGCTCATAGAATATCGCATAGATTGGGCTTGAGATGCGTGCGTTACTGATGTGCCCACCATTGCCTGTGATTCTCGATCCTCACTGTCGACAGGCCTATAAATAAGGGCGTTGGTCCTAGATGGTCCACACGGAGACAGGTGGGGGCTATCTCAGAACCAGAACCTGCCCGGGCGGGAGGGGGAGAGAAACTCCCACACTGCCTGAAGCAAAACCCAGTGTATGTCGTGCTTTCTGCATCTTCTAAGTATTTGAAACATGACATACAGATACAGAGATTTTGAGCATTGTAAACCAGATTTTCATGTGTATAACTAGATAGCCATGGTTATCACTTACTAGTAATCCTAACTCCTAGAGAACCCCTGAGAGAGTGTTCGGGATCGTAGTGTCCAATCGGAGGACACTGAGGCTCTGTGGACTTTAACCAGCTTCTTCAAATCTCACAGTGAATGCCACAGAAGTTCATATTTATGGCTGTGAATCTCATTTAGAGTCTAGCAGGTCGCATTACTTTAACAGCACTTCGAATATTTAATGGCAAAGTAGTCACTTCTTGAGTCCTGTACCAGGGCCAATTTTATTTTGTGCCTTATTATCTATTAATAACAACTTTCTAATGGAAAATGTTTAAATAATTAACTTTATTGGTAATTTTATATATAGATAATGATCACATTCATCACAGGGAATTTGTACCTGTACGTGATATATCTTGATTCTCCTTTTTTTTCTGTCTTTCACCTCCCTTCAGCCCTTCTTCCCTCATTTATAAGCACTTTACTTCTTATTTTTCTTTTCCTTTTTCCTTTTTTTTTCCTTTTCTTTTCCCTTCCTTCCTCTCCCATTCCCCTCTCCCTAGTTCCCCTTCTCATGTGAACATTTTCTATATATTTCACAGTAGGTAGAACCACTGAAGACACCAGTGTAGGTAAAAATTTTTCCCGGATTACTCAGGAAATATCAGAAAGCATCAACAAGTGGAATCTCATTTAAAAGCATTTGCACAGCAAAAGAAATCACCAAGAGTAAAGAGGCAACCCACAGAGTAGGAAAAAAGTTTGCTAGCCTTTCCTCAGAAAAAGGACTAATATGTGGAATATATGAAGAACTAAAAACAGTCAGACTCCCAAATTTAAAGACCCAGTCTAAAAATGGGTGCCTAAAATGAATAGACACTTCCCAGATGAAGAAGTACAAATGGCAAATAAATATATGAAAAAATGCTTAACATCACTGATCAACCGAGAGATGCAAATTAAAACAATGCTGAGATTTTATCCCACTCCCAAAATAATGGCTATCATCAAGAAATCAACCAATAACAAATGCTGACAGAGCTGTGGAGAAAAGGGAACCCTTCGCCACTGTTGGTGGGAGTGTAGACTGGTGCAACCACTGTAGAAATCAGTGTGGAGATCCTAAAAAAGCTAGGACTAAAGGTCCCATTTGACCCAGCTATTCTCCTTCTGGGTATCTTCCTGACAGAATTAATAGTATCATACCACAGTGATACATGCAAACTCATGTTTATAGCAGCACAGTTTGTAATAGCTAAATCTTGGTAACAACCCAAATGCCCATCAACAAATGAATGGATAAAGAAGATACGGGATTTTTTTATACAAGACAGTACTAGTCAGCCATAAAGAATGATAAATTTGAGACATTTCTAGCTAAATGGATGCATCTTGAGACCATACTCTTAAGTGAAATAAATCTAATACATATATGTAAATATCATGTGGCTTCTCTAGTGTGAGAAACCAAAAGTATAAATAAGGACCAAAATGTATAATGGAAATTTTTTATTACCAACAAGTATTTTTCTTGCATGACTATAATTAGGATTTGATTTCACCTGGAATAAAAATAACTTGGACATAAACCGAAATCAACAGAATATTCTGTGATTAACTGGGGTGGTTTTCTAGAACCAACCTCAAAACAGCAATGGGCACAGAGACCCTAGACTGTATCCAGGAACTTACATGAGGCTGGGTTATTCAGCCAGGCAGGGATGTGGCCTCTTGGAGATAATAACGTGGAGAAATTTGCTGGTTGTTTAGGATAAGTGTGTGCACATGTATGTGTAAGTGTACATGTGTGTGCATGTGTGTATGGTTAAACCCAAGAATATCGGGCACAAACATGACCCTGCTTCTGTACCTTGTCTATTTATCTTGTCAAACTATGACACTGCTCAGGCTGACCTTTCATTTTACCTTATTTTATTTTACTTTAGATGGAATGATATTGGCTCTGCCGAAACAGACTCTGTGACGTTTCCCTGTCCTTCTTGCCATTTCACTGTATATGGCTATCACTTTAATGTGTTGTTTTTTTTCTCCCTCACGGCATAAATTAAACAAAGTTTGACAGTGAAATATTCCAATTGCTAGACCACAATATATGTATCAACTTTGGCTGATAGAAGAGAATGTCAAAAGTAAATATTTCTCTAAACTCTGCCCAAATATGTTTTGTCTATTTGAGTGACAAAGAAATAATAATGACAACATGCACAGCAGAGAATATGGAGGAAGCAAGGTTGGCTGCAGTAGAAGGAGATGTGCTCCTGGGTGCAAAGAACTTCGTTTTATAAAGTTGGAGACTGCTAACCAGTCATTCCATAGCAGCACAATGTTGTTTATGCACAACTGGTACAGACTGATGGAGAACTTTTTGAAGATAATTTAAATGCCACACAAGTGTCATCTAATGGTCATCACAGGTGTAAGTCGATTGTGTACTTGTAAAAGTACGTAGAAGGTTAACCAAGGAAATAAATATTAAATACCTCGCAAAATGATTGGGTTTCAGTATCTCACGATTTTGTTAAAGGTTACCTTAGTAATCCAGATTAAATTAAAATTGTTTTAAATAGAAATTTCTATTAATACACCAAAGAACATTAGTAAAAGAAAGAAATTAGATGGTAGAGAAGAACACCCAAATTAAAGGTCATGACGTGATTTCAGATAATTCAAGAAAATTAATTGTACAGAAATATTTTAGACCAAAGTCAGTCCTTGAAACTGTGAGGTCCAGCAGATACCAGCTCGTAACCCTCACGAGTTCAGGCCCATGTTTACAGCATTCATCTCTGTGCCACCAGGACTCGGGATGGGGCCAGGACTCTGGTAGACTTGGATGTATATTTATTTGCCAATGAATTAATAAATGGGCCCCATTTTAAGAACGTATGACAACTGAAAGGAATTATGCAAAAGAACCATGACTAATGCAAGCAGAGACAGGAAATAGCACATCCCTAACATAGCCTGTTTTAGTGTCTCCTGTAACTGCATTTGCAATGATGGAGGCAACACGAATGTCTGAATATATATAGTTGATTGAAATAGTATGGGGCCAGATCAAAAGGATAACTTGCTGCTGTGTCTACTTCCTCTTCCTGTGCTCTGCAAACTCATTGTAAGTGCAGTCTCCATGAGGAAGGGTTTTAAACACTTGCATTTCTCATACTTCATTTTTGCATCAATAGTACTTCACTCATTCATTTAATGAATGTTGACTGAAAGGGTATTTTAGACTCTGCAGATCTAATAAGGAACATAAGATAACAATTTGTAAATCCATCCCTCAATGCCCATAATTTGTTTGCCAACTCTATTGTAGATAATAGTCCATTTGGGTAATTGTCTTTTTTAACACTTATAGGCTAACGTATCAATGTATTTGTTCATTGAGGTAACTTATGGGACGCAATACATGGTGAAGATTAACCAACACTCTATACCCAATACTGACAAAAGGCCAAAGCACTTGACTTTAAAATCAGAATTATGATGCTTTTATTACTTTGAAAACATAACCCATGGATTAGTAGAAATGCCAACTGGAAATTTTACTGTAGGTAAATGAAAACAATAAAATAATTTAGCAATAATATTTTGATCACAGTGCCTGCCATCATCATTAGTGGTCTAAGTACAGTGTCTCCAATTCTTGGGTCTCCCAGGGACAGAGGTTTTCTTGTCACTCTCTAGTGCTGGGGACACTTGAGGGGTAAGTGTTCCTAACAGAGCTGTCACAGAGCTGTAACTGAGGAGCCTAAACTCTCTTCTAGAACTTTCTTAGTTTCTTAATGCTAAACATTTGTGTCCCAACACACAGGTACATGTTTCAAAAGTGATCATAATTTAATGGAGTAAATGCTTATTGGGTACTTGCCGCATTTTTCTTCCTTTTTCTCTCCCTAAGACACTGAGTAGTGAATAGCGGCTGTCGGGCACAGAAATGCGAGTGTAGGAGAAGTCTTGGAGCTACTTTGTTCACCATTAAGCATCAAATCAACTGAGGACTTTAGTCCAGCCTTACATTTTATAGATAAACTCTCTGAGCCACCAGAGACTACAGAAGATCATTTGGGGCTGTGAGACTACATCCAATATCTTCCCATTTTCTGTCCACCCGTTTCTTTCAATTAAAAATACCTAGCAGTTATATGTGTCTCAAAATGTATTTACGCCATTCTTTTGTCAAAATGGTAAAATATATCTCATATAGGAATCTGCTTCCCAGTCATGTCTGATCGGTAAATCATGTCAAAATGTGCTGCAGTTCAAGGTGCACCCTCAGTGGGCTTCCCACAGGAGCAGCAGGCGTCACAGGGGGCGACACCGTGCAGTTCTCAGTCTTCTTTCGCCCGCGTCCTGCCCTTCAACCCCAGCGGCCACTAACACGGTCCAAACCTGTGCAGTTATCAGGAGCTCGGCAAGAAAGGACGTGCCTCTTACGTTTCTTAAGTGTGTAGAGTAGGCATCCAAAACAAATTTGCTCCTAGTGATGTGAAAACCTCAGATGTTGCTAACAAATGCTTTCCCTAAGAAAATACAATAAAAATTCATGAATATGCTAAAAAATGTTTGCAGCGGCTTCACTGTTCTGCCCTGCTGAGCATGCCCGCCCTTGTGCCTGCGGGAGGTCACACGCTCTCCCAGCCCTGGCAGAAAGTGCAGAAGAGACAGGACGGGAGGGTGGGGGAGGAGGCTGTGCACTGAGGTGATTTATATAAACAATATAAAATATAAATCTTGTATTTTATCATTGAGAAAACAAAATGCGAGCCAGGCATATATTTCCTTACCTCTTTAGACTTCACCAGCATTGGAAGTTTCAAGGTTTATTTTGACTAGTGTCTGGCTTTCGCATTGACAAGCTAATTAGAAGGGCATGCCAGACTGCGCGTCCGTACCAAGTCCGCGGGGCTCCCCCGGGGGCGCCTCTAACCGAACCTGCTGACACTTGAAATGAAGCAGCACTCACCCGAAAAACTGTCATCTCTTCCAGCAGGACTTCTTCTAAATCATGCCAGGTCTCCTTAGGAATTGACACGACTTTAAGAACGGTCCCGACATCTTTAAAAGCAAGAATGCGAGACCATCACCATTTAAGTAGACCTGATTAGCGTTCAGTATTAGTGGAGGGAATTGGGATTTGTTCAAAAAAGAACATTTTGACCTTGGTCTTCCTTCTAACTATTTTGTTTTTTTGCCTAAATATTAATAAACTGTACACATTCAAGGGCATCTCCTGCAATTCACAAACTGGAGAATGATTGCCTTGGAATACAAAAAAAGTGAAAATTTTGAAATATATTAAAATTCGATGAAGGTTCTAACTGAAACTGTATAATTTAAAAAATGCAAGAACCACTACAGAAACTGGCCAGGTTGCATGATGTTCTATGTATTTTTAAAAATCCCATTAATCATCGGTGTCTCAGAAAAAGAAAACCAGCAACTAGGAATAACACCAGCTGAACTGCAGCTTTGTCCGCTTCTGCTGTGAAGCGGAGCAGTGACAGAAATGCAAGGAACGCGGACACCGGGCAAGGCGGTGGCCTCAGGGTCCGGCTGCTGCGGTCACCCAAAAGGCTCCAGGCACAAGAAGAGATGAACGACAATGCTGAGAGTCCTCAAATAAACACCTACAGCCAGTTATTATAGTAATTTCTCAATTCACACTTTAGTTAATTAATTGTAAAGCATTAAAGAATTTAAAATTCAGAAGCACAAATTATAAGCAAGGTGAATATATTTTGTTGATAATTCAACTTTTTTCTACTTTTCAGGAGCCATCTGTTTTCCCAAAGTTGGCTGAAAATGATATTGATCCACTAATATTCCGAGTATGAAGAACGGTTTTACCCTTCAGTATTTCAGTTTTGACTAAACTTGATCTATTCTTTTTAGCTCGAAGTAGTTCATTGTGACCAGCTTTAACGGACTACTTGTGAAGACATTCTTGCCAGTAAGGAACAAGTGACGCCCGAAAAAACAAGTCAGTGCATTCATACTACGGATAACTATTTCCAAGGGACCCACACACTGTGCTGTACACCATCAAGAAGGCTGCTAGTTTATCCCTTGTAAAGTTAGAAAGAAAAGTCCTCTTTTAAGAGGATCCCTCTATGTTTACAGAACCACAGACTGCCCATAACACTGAAGATTAAAGGGAAATTAGGTTAATCTAGCCAGGCCTTTCATCGGGTCTCCAGTACCCAAATACAACTTTATCTGCGTTCTAGATCAAGTTTTACAGAGTAGTATTTCAAACAATTTCACACAAATTGAATCAGGTTACTCAACTAGGATCAATGTACTATGATGGGCAACTTAGTTAAAAGATAAAATTACTGTAATCAATTTACTCTGCTGACAGATGACCCTGGTCTGTACTGACCTAGAGCAACGCACATCATCAGACATTCGACATTCTCATGAAACTGGTGCCTTTCAGGACAATTTGTGTCCAAGAGGGATTAAAAGCTCATGATTGGGTTTCTTTGGTCAAATACCCGGAAGCAAGCTTTGTTGCTCTGACAGTGAGTGAGCTGATTGGCCACAAGTTGAAGGCAGAGGTGAAGACAAAGGCAAGTGCAGTGTTGTTGAATAAGCTGAGATTCCCTGCAGAGAGTTCGACAATAACCTGCCACAAAAACATACACTAATATCTGCTGAAGGGAACTGGTTCTATTTTATATTTTCTAAAGATATTTATAACCTGAAGTTGGTGCTCACAATTCATTGACTTTTATGGGAACCTGAACTTCATTGGAGCCTTTTATTTGATAGAGAAAATTTCTTACCCATAAAAGTAGATTTTAATGTATTGCCCAGAACCTGACACTGCTACACAGAAGAGCCGAAGTGTTACACAATTTCATTATAAAAACTTAAGCCTTTAACACACAGACTGCCCACTTATGGTTCTCCTGTAGTTAATGTAATTTTTTTCTGCTTCTCACCGAGGGAAAATAAATGTTATTATACAAGGTTTCAGTGAGCACTCACTCTGGTTCCCAGTGATTTATGTCAGTTAACAGCGTTAATGGAGACCAGGAATTTATTACCATGGAATCTGACCCTAAGTAGCAGGCTTCAGATTTGTAATTGGTACTTCCACAAACCGTGGTACTACTTAAAAAAGTAGGGGAAAATAAAGTAACATGTCATAATCATGATGATGGAATTAATTCTGAAACTGGACCTCCAAAAATTTGTTTTTGATCATGAAATTAGTAAAAAAATATTGAAATTTCCATAGAAAAGTATCTGATGATTGGTTAAATCAGTTTCATCATTTTTCTGATGAAGTCTTTTTTTGCTCAGTGTATATCGGAAACAATGAAAGAATTTTGATGTTATCATTTCTTTGTTGAAATCTTTTCATCATACTACAATTTTGAAGGGCAGATAATTTTGTATTGATATATTCTGAAGCCACTATTGAATATCCTGTGAATGTCAAACAGTTTGAGCAACACATCTTTGTTCTAAAAGTCCACTGGCCAAGAAAGAGTTATGATTCGAATAGGAACATTTATTGTTTACATAATTATTAGCATTATTGGATTACATTTACCAGTGTTTCACTGAAGAAGAAATTTATTTTAAAATAATATCCTTCAATTTGTCTAAAAAGATAACACATTTGTAATGACAGATTATTCAAAAAAGTTTTTAGTAATGTTCTAGAGGTGAACTACGTTTTGAAAGTGAGTATAAAACCTGACTTGTTGTTAGCATACTTAACCGAATAAAAAATGTTTTGCATGAAAATGTGTTTAAACTAACTTTAAAAACATACCTGTTCCAATAAACATGACATCGTATTGTCCATCCTCTGCATCCACTCGGTCGACCACAATCTGTGTGAACTGATAATTCACGTCTGTTTTGATCATTATCGGGCGGTTGTTCATGGGAAACACCGGGTTGTACATGGCCGGATGGCTACGGGCGAAGGTTATGACGTCATCCGGAAGGTCCTTCGTGGAGTCGAACCCGCCAAATGTTTTACTGGGACACTGTCAGGAGAGAACAGAGGATCTTTTCATGAAGGTCTAATAAAGAGGACTGTAAATTATATGATAAGGCATGGCTCTGTATCTAGGCATCAGACCTGTCATTATGTTTAAAGTGACTTTGTACTGATAAACTACTCAAATTATAGTTATTATTAGTGACTCTCTACTTAAGTTACTAGGTATATTCAGTAGCATAGTTTTTCTAAATGTGTCTTTCTCTCAATGGGGCTTCCTTATGGTATCATTTCTTATCAGAAACGGGAAGTGGCTCTGCTATGTTCAGCGTGCAGAAGTCTGACTCCTCAGAGGTGCGCTTGCAGCAGATCTGACGTGGGGAGTGGAGCTTGCTATCACCCAGTGCACTTAATCATGAGATTACAGAGAAGACAGAAGAATTTTGAATACATTCACTTTTCTTTATGATCTCTTCAAGTTAAAATGTAAATGTTCTTTCCAAACTAAAAGCCGATCTAGATGATTCTTCACTGACTCGTTTAGAACATAACTGAGAAAGTAACATCAATGTTCAATAAGCAAATAATGCTAGGAATAAGGGGAGGTATTATTCCAAATGTTCAGCAATCTTCACAGCACAGAAACTGATCGGTCAGAATGGACATCATGACCGTCAGAAGGAGAGTGGCCTTCAAAGCCCAGAAGGGTTCACTTGTGTTCACTGGCCTAATGCCACATCTGGATAAAACCACTCCAGGTAGAGATAATAAAACAGAAATGAGAAAAATTAAAATATTCCTGTCATTTTACTGTCTTTAATTATGTAGAAGCATTCATGGAATATAGTATCCCCAATCTCGTACTTTTTGTCTTAGGTTTAAGTAATTTCTGCCATTTAATATAAGAGCTTGATAGATGAAATATAATTAAGAGATGGTTCTGATCTTGCAAGAAACTTAGAATGAGAAATCAATTGTCTTTGGCACTATGCTGAAAAATCATTAATAACTTATGAGTAATGAAATAGATCTGCCTTGAATTGAGGCTACATAAATATATACATATATACTTATGCACATAGATATACATTAATACAGTACCAGAACAAAGGTTCTAAGAATTTACTTCATGATTTTTAAAATAAATTATATAATTATTAAATTAATATTATGGAAATATTAAATTCCTACATAAAGGCTGGAAAAATACAAGAAAATATGTCTTCAGAAATTTTGTGCTGCTTTACTAATATGAAAAAATATCAAGAGTTTAGCGATGTGTGATTCAAAATTAAACTAAGCGATTTTTTGATTGTAGGATTTTTAAAAATGTATTTTATTCGTTTGCCTTATCTTTTTATTTTGTATCTAATAAAACTTATAAGCCTTTCCTTAGAAACTTGTAGTGCTACTGACATGATGTTTGAAGGTCATTTAGTATGTCCTTCCCCCAGTACCACTGATGGAATGACACTTCTTAGCCAGTACCTTTTGTGATTTGTTTTTGCTTTTTGGGTACCAGGAATCAAACTCAGGACCTCGCACTTGCCAGGCAGGTGCTGTGCCACTGAGCTTGATTCCTGTCCCCACTTGTCAGGATTTATGAGCTCATCCAACAGAATTTTGTGCATGGAGCTCCAGGCCATCCCCAGGTTTTAGATTAGGCAGTACTGCTACTCCTGCTTACTGCTATCAGAATGTTGCCTGCTGACCTAGTTTCTCATGTTGTAACAACCACCTAGGAAGAGCAGGTGAGAACTGCACTGCCTGCCTTCCCATCCTGCCATCTCAGAGTCCTCTGTGAAATGGGAAGAACGGTGGATTACTAAGATCCAGGTCTTAGTACATGTCTGTTTACATGTGTATCTGTACCTGTATCTATATATATAAACTATCACTTAGAACAGAACCTGGAGTGCAATATTTTCCATAGCTGTCCTAATTGCCATTATAATTCTAAATATGTTGTACAGATATTCAGATTAAAAACTGAATTCATCTTTGTGGTTGGAAATGTCTAGCACTTAGGAGATGTCCCATCATGTTTGTTGACGTAGATCTAGAAAGAGTGGATTTGTGTGGCAAGCACATGTGGATGAATTAGCCATAGGAAGAAAAGGCTATCTAGACACAAAGTAAAAGCAGTTTATCATGAAGGTAGGAAGTAAATAGCTTGTGCTTTATAGAGCCTCTTTGACTTGTTATACTCAATATACAGTCCTCTCAGTTATTTATTATTCTGAGATTTACCTTAAGGTTTGCTACTAGGTTCATCCATGTGAAATATTATATGTGAAATGCAAAATCATCGATTTTCTCATCAGCAAATGAAGCAATATAGGTAAAATAATAATAATAATAAAAGTTCTACACCTAATATAATAATTTAAAACACAGTTTACTTGAATTCATCAAAATATAAAAGTCCTAAAGTGAATCAGAGTAACAGCTGCACTTCTGGTCAGCCCCCTTTTCTAACACCCTCTCCTGGAGGTCCTTACAGAAAACACTGCTGCGGGGGTGCCGTGGTCTCCAACTGTCCTGGCATCACATCGATGTCATATTAATGTCTTTATTTGCATTTGCCCCTTAGGTTAAGGTAGTGATTCTGAGCTAGTTTAATGCTGAGTTTTTCTAACTTTGCCCAGATTTGCTGCAGGGTCCATGTGAGGGACACAGCTTGGCTGTTAGGCTAGACAGTGTATATTAGGGTATCCAGGCCCTGCTCTCTTCTGACACATGTTTCTTCAGATTGTCTTCTTCACCCACATTCAGACGTTTATGCTAGGCCCATGGGATGACAATGTTGGTTTTTCTGTAATTTTTTTCTCCAATGTGAAGTGTAATGCCAAACCTTCCCTAAATGAGAGACCAAGCCAGGCCGGAGCCTATATGCTTCAGGCCTGCATGAGGCCGTTTCCCCTGCATCCCACTGGGAGGGAAAAGAGATGAGGCTGCCTGTTCAGTTTTGGTTTCTCAAGAGCATGGGCGCTGAATGGTAAGCAGTAATTTTTAATGTGCAACTCCATGCCTGCACGGAAAATCTAAGTCTTGCTTGCATTTATAGTCTTAGGAACTTTGTTCTACACTATGTGTATTTCACGTTCATTTGTAGATACACTCTTTTCTTCTCTTTGTCACCTTTGGCAGAAATACAGTCACTCCTATGCTAGCATCGAAGCACTTACAGTTCCTGGTCGTGGGTAGGGGACCCTGCCCTGGTAGGGCACCCACTGGTAATTGGGACCGTCCCTGTGTGCGTAGGGACCCAGGAACACTCTCCTCACGTCGCTCATGCTGTACATGCACACGGCTGACCCCTTGAAGATGTTACTGAAAACAGAGAGAGCAGAAGATGACATTTGTCTTTATAGCACTGCAGGAAAACCGCTGAGACTGAGCTTTTACATATCAGAAATTAAGCTGCAAAACTTGCACACAAGGCTGGGGCTGTAGCTCAGTGGTAGGGCTCTTCCCTAACATGTGCAAGGCCCTAAATTCCATCCCCAACATTGCAAAAACAAATAGTAAAAGGAAACTTGAATATAAATTCTTAGCAATCTCAAATAATATTGGGATTATGTTAGTCATGTGTTTATATTTTAATGGTGCACAAGAGAATAAATTATGATGTCTCAACAAGGGAAAGTATGATAAAACTATCTTTAGCATTCACTTAATATATACATTCATATCAAAATTCTATTAAATTTTGATAGAAAAAACATGTAGAAAATCTTCTTTAAATGAGAATTCAATTTTAACACCAAATAGAAGTAAAAATATATACTGTGCGTAAGCCTCAAACAACATTTTAAACAAGCAAGCATGTTTAAGAATTAATTTATACACTGAAGTTTGTGCAGAAAATGATTTGTCCCTGGCAAATGATGTGCCACATTACATTATTTTTATCTCCCAAACCACCAAAGTATTACATCAAGTAACAGTTTGATATTTGCGAAGGTATTTAATTTCATCTCTTTCCAACACTGCAGATAGTTTTCAGTTGATAGCTAGTTCACTCCAGCCAAAGTGGAGAGTTGTAGCAATTATTCATATTATTTTGGTAATGAAAGTCAGGTAATAGGAATAAACTGGAAATTTGTCACAAAGCTTTGAAAAATTTGCATTTTATTTTGCTTACATGTCTAAGGCTGGGGAATGTATCTGGATGAAGATATTAAAGAGCTGTGCTGTGTACAATATGGAACACTTCGAGCTGAGCTCCCCTTGTTGGAAACCACATGGAAAGCGGGTCAAACGAAAGCCTCGTGTGCCTGGAAGCGGACTCCTGCATACTCTCCGAATGGTCTACGTCAGGTAGGCCGGCTTCGTGGGGCGCGATGCTTCCGCTGTGACTGTGCACGTGGCTCTGGTTCAGTTTAACCTCAACAAGAACTGATACAACTTTGTGCTTTCGTGACAGGAGAGGAGAAAGCTCACACTCACTGGGCAGAACGCGTTTGGTAAGGTAAAGCTTGTGTCATCCACCCCCTTTCCATTATTCCACACTCTGCTTATTTACTAGTGAGATCGCTGCCCATCAGAGCTCTTGGTGAGCTCTTGGTGAGTAACGGAGCACGAGGAGGGTCTGTGGCCGCTTCCCCCTGCCAGGCTGTGCTTTCTCCTTAGGGTCTCACGCCAGCCAATGGGTCCGCGAGACGACTTCCATCTCAGTGGAACTGAAGGTACCAGAGAGGACCTGGGCTTTTCTTGTACCTCACTCACGGAGTTATGAACGGGGTTAGGGCAGTGGGGGGTGGAGGACGGCTGTCGTTACAAGTTGTAAACGTATTCTGAATTATATACATATCTGTTCTGAATTAAGCTTCTTCGCTCTTCGTTTACACCTCTATAAACTCTTGCCAGTGCTCCTATTTCCCTTACGTTTCATTTGAATGTTTAAATCAAAGCTGTACCTAGGAGACGACACAAGCTTTTCCAGTCACTTCACCATTATATTTACAATGCGCACAGCCTTTGCTAAAATGTATTTTAAAAATTCACTCCCCATGTCTCTCCCTATTTCAGTCCCCTTAGGATATACAAAAGCTCAAAGATGAAAGGAGCAGTTTCTGTGACAAAATGGTAAGAAAAGTTATTTACCTGGAGGTGGTAAACACTCCGTAGACAACTGGATTTTTAGGATCTTTGGAGTTCATCAGGAATACATCCTCTGTTTGAAAACAAAATTGGGAAGTTGCATGTTTTCAGGGTCTTGACAAAGTCTTGACAAACGTTCTTTGTACAAAAGCGGCAGCTACTTACGGAGCTCATCAAAGTGGGTGTCGATGCCGTTGGGCCCCGGCACGGAGCAGACGAGCCGGGCTTTCAGGAACGTGGTCCACTTATTCACCAGGCTTCGGTGCCCGCCGAAGTCGTTCTGAAAAGGAGAAGCCAGGTGGGACATGGTGCTTGCAAACGGCAATTTCAAGTACAACTTTCCTTGTATCTTGAGACAAAGACAAATACAAGTCTTTATTTTTCCATTTTTTCCAAAAGGAGGAATCTGTATTTGCAAGCGTGGGAGTCTCCCAATTCTCCACTTTTCAACGTGATCATAATCATTCTAAATGATATACGCAAGTAGCTGTCGCTATTTTACCCTGTAGGTCAAGTCATTGACTCAAATTATATTCAAGGAATTACTCGTAATGAATGTCTCTTAACCTTAAAAAGCAATTTTATGTCCATCAATAGATGAATGGAATTTAAGACTGTGGTACATATATACAAGGGAAGATTTCAGCCTTGAAAAGAAAATACCTGCTATTTGTCAAAAAGCTGATAAACTTTGAGGTCTTAGCATGTAAAATAAACCAAGCACAGAAAGAGAAACGCCACATGAGCTCATTTAAATAAGGAATCTAAAAAAGTTGTGCTCATGGAAGCCACATAGAAGGTAGCTTCCAGGGGCGGGGGAGGGGAGGCTTTGGATGATGTTGGTGAATGAATTCAAGATTTCCGTTAGACAGCAAGAATAAGTTTGAGAGATCTAAAGTGCAATGTGCTGCGTATAGTTAATAATGATGTATTATACCTCATAAAATCTCAAAGAAGAATTTTAAGTGACCTCACCACATGGAATCCTGGGAGATACGCATATGTTAGTTTGTTCAACTTACCCTGCACATGCATATCAAAACGTTATGTGGTAGATGATAAATTTATACTTTTTTAAAATTTCCAATTTAAAAATTTTTATAAAAGTCACATTGCTTTTCTACATTCTGTTGCCACTGCAATGAGTAGTTTCTGCTGTGGAGTTTGTTTTCGTTTTTCTCATGCTGGCAGTGTAGTTTTGAAATCTTACTCAGTTGTGCAGGTAGGGTTCCAATTAGTTATTGTACACAGTAGGCGAACAGTCACTGTTTACTGAATGGATGATAAATGCAGGCCTTATAGCATACACCAAAAATTAGGCCTCCCAATAAACATGTTAGCATCAAATACTTGCAAACTCGGAGTGTTGAAGCAGTTTATACTTTGTAAATAACACACTGAGGAAATATTTGCACAAACCTTACTAAAGGAAACTCATTCCAGAGAAAATATGTTGAAAATGTTTCCTTGCTGCAAATACAACTGAATTTTAACATAACTGCAGCAATAAATTACACTGAAAGATACATATTTACTAGCAACTGCAGTCTTTTAAAATAATATTTATGTGCATATGTTGAAGGAACACGTAGGTTCCTTCAAAATAGAACACTAGTTTATATTTTGTTTATATGATTTTCTATACTATAAAGAGGTTTAGGGGCTGGGGATTTAGCTCAGCAGCAAAGCGCCTGCCTGGCAAGGGCAAGGTTGTGAGTTCGCTTCCCGGTACCGGAGAAAAACCAAAAAAAAAAAAAAAAAAAAAGAGGTTTAAACCTCTTAAGTAAAATGTTTAAAATAATCTTCTTTTTATAGAAAAGAGGTTCACCTAGTCACATTTTATTTCCTTGTTTCCAGGCATTTTAAATTTCCTAATTTTCTAATTATTGAACATGCTTCAGATTGACAATATGAACTAATCAATGAATATTTATTGAGGATTCTCACCCTGTAGATCTAACATTATACTATAATATTAAACCCAATATCCTACTACTCAAAAAGTGAATTCTCAGAAAGATAAAGCTCAGAACTTCTAATCTATGCATTTCTGTGCATGTGTTTGTATGTGTACATGTGTGCAGAAAGCCATAAATGGGCTTTAATGTTTTTCTCACTTAAATTAATATTTTTCTTACACTCCAAAGGCAAATATGCATTCCAAGCTCACCATTTGTAGGAAACTGGTTAATCTGAAAATACCAAAAGCAATACTCTGCCAGGTTATGCAGGTATTTTATATCTTTATAGCCAAAGAAACATTTTGTATCTCAAGCCTTCCAGACCAAGATGGCCTCTTGTGACTGAGACAGTCTTGCTTTGCACACCGACCTGACTCTGCCCCTGGGAAGGGTGACTGCAAAGCAACCTCTGCATCTCATGGTCCCATTCAAACATTTTCGCGTGATTAAACACATGTTAGCTGCATTTCTCAATGTATTTTCATACAGGTGGAAAATACAAGAAATGAAACTGATTGGACATCAGTGTCATCCTCAGTTTTTTCTTTACCTCACCTTGCATATCTGACCTATTCTAGCATGAGTAGCTTTTCCAGAATGTTCACCATCTATTGCATTTTCACGGAAGAAAAAGTATACTTTGTCATCTTCTGGGTTGTCACTCTCTGGGATGAGGTGGGCACTGACAAACCTGGGGTCTGAGAGGCAAACAGAGTGTACATATTAATTCACACTTTAACAATACCATGCACTATTGCCCATTTTCACTTCCTCTTAACCTCTTCTTGATAGATTACATATACTCTATTTCCTTAGTTCAGTTCATAAAATGAACTGAATTTTATCCATTTGCATACAAATGGATATTATAAAACATGCAACAGCTACAAAAAATTGACTCATTTTCTTCAGAACGTACAGAAATCCTTTGGATGACCACCAGTAGAAAATGCGCTACTGGATATTGAAACATTTCCTAAATTTTAAGTGCCATCAAATGTTACTTATCACTGTCACCATTGTTATTCTTCCTTTCAGATATAACACAATTTTGCTTAAACTTCTGATCAGCAGGCTGGGTGGGAAGGGAAAGCTGAACTCTATCGAAAGCAAAAGGAAGAACCTTTCCTGACGCTGCCCTCTCAGTGAACAGAATGATACTCCACTGGAGGCTCAGGTCAGGAGTCTCCTCTTTCTCTCGTAGCCCATATTCTATCAGCACCTGCCTATTCACAGTCACCTCCCAAAGCCCTCTCCTGTGCCACCATTAGCAGCCCGATCTTTGCATGGAATTACTGACCAGTCTCCATCTCCGCCTGACCAACTCTGTCTTCTTCTCCACCCAACAGCCAGGAGGAGCCTCCACCACACAGCTCCCATCTCCAGCCTGATTATCTTTCCAGCTCACTTTCCCTAAGATATAAACATCTTCCCCAGAAAGAAAATCAAATACACACTGGAAATGTTCAGAGCCCTATCTCAAAAATACTTCTGTAAATAACTGGGCTGATACAGCCACGGCTCACACATACTACATAAAAAAAGCAATGGATTCCAGGCTTTGCTCGGGAAAGAAAAAGTTTATCTCACCGAAAGCATTTAGCACATTGCAAATATTTAAATTCTTGCAGTAACCTATCTACCTTTTCACCCACAGGTATTGTCTTATCAAAGTATGAATAAAACACACACACACACACACACACATGCAGGTCAGCACCGTGGTTAGGAGACCAGGAAAGAGATGAGAACCCTGATATGAGCTTATCCTACACAGTGTCAATTAATATCTGTCCTGATCTTCACAACTGAATAATCATCATTATCACATGATCTATGCTTCTGAGTTCCTTTAACATTTGCTCTGAGGCTGGGCACTTAGTACATTTTGCAGGGCTCCATTTTACTCCTTTTCAGGAAAGTTACACAGACTCTGTCAGTCATGTACAACATATGAAGTATTCCCTATTCATATTTTAAGTTAAAAATTATTAAATTTAATAAGAACAATAATTTTAAAATTATTTTAAAACTAGAAGCACCTAGTACCAACCAGAAGTTTTAAAGACATAGGAAATATTTCTTTAATCTTAGTCATTGTTATAAAACTTGCTTTTCTCTGTAAATTTCACTTGTTCATGTGGATCTGTTCACTATGCATGGTTGTTTCATGAGGCCTGACCCTCAGAATAATGAATGTGACAAAGTGGGGATTCCCATCGTAAATAACATATTAAGACCACATCCATGAAGTTAGGCTCCTACAGACACATGTGGATGTGCTTCTGAGTAGGTTATACACTGAGCTACAGCACAAACTTGTATACATTCAGTTCAGGCTTGAAAATGGCAAACTCTAAATTTTGTGAGCTTTGATCAAAGTCTTTCTTCCAGAACTTAGATATTTAATTTTCAAATTATTTTTATTCCAGATTGAGCTATTACAATGTAGGTACAACTCATCTTGTCTGCTTTAAATTGTTCATGGAAGAAAAATAGCTTATATATGATATTTCTTTTTTTTATTTTAAATATAAAAGGAGGGAAACATTAACAGACATACAACATTTTACAACATATCACAAGCACAATACAGACAATACAGAGTTACAAACAAAGTGGTAGGGAATTAACAATGGTGGTTGTATTACATATTGATATCTTCAAAGTGGCTTCTCATGAAAACAGTATATATGATATATCATACTTAAAGCATGTAAAACAACCTTGTGAACATGTTAATAAATGCATTATATTATTATACTTATGATGTTCTTGTAAAAAAGCCATGATCCTGTACTAATCTCATTATATTATACCTATAGTATACAGAAAATGGAAATATATCCCTTGTTCCTGGATAGGCAGAATCAGTATAACCAAAATGACCACATTTTTAAAATTGATATACAGATTTAATGCAATTCCCATCAACATTCCACCAGGACTTTTTACAGAACTGGAGAAGATGACCCTAAAATTCATGTGGAACCAGAAGAGACAGACAACAGCAAAAGCAGTCGTGGGAAACAAGCAAAGGGGGAGGCATCACAATTCCGGACTTCAAGTTAGATCTCAAAGCTACTGTGGTAAAAAGAGCATGGCACTGACACAAAAAACAGTGGAACAGAATGAAGGATTCAGAAACAATCCCAGGCACATTCAAATATTTGATCTTTGACAAAGGAGTCAAAAACAGCACTGAAGGAAAAATAGCCTCCTTAATACTAAGTGGTGCTGGGAAAACTAGACATCCACATTCAGAAGATTTAATCTAGCCAGGTATCTCTCACCACGTACTAAACAAAAGCAAAAATGGCCAAAGAAATAAATATTAAAACAGGTAAAATTTAAAGGTGTAAAGTTGGCAAGGGCTTTCCAAGCAGAACATTGGCTGCCCGAGAAATAGTCCTGAGAATCAACAGATCAAATCAGATCAAATTTAAAAGCTTTTGTACAGGAAAATAAACCACTGACAGAGTGAAGAGATAACCTACTTGGTTGGAAAATATTTTTGCCTGCTATTACTCAGACAGAGACTAATATCTAGAATATACAAAGAACTAAAATAATTAGACCCTGAGACAGACGACCCAATCAAAAAATGGGCAAATGAAATTCATAGCTAACTTTGTAGAAGCACAAATGGTCAGTAAGTACTTAAAGGTATGCTTAACACGACTGAGCACTCAAGAAACAAAACCTAAAACAATACTGAGAATGTATCTTACCTCAGAAAGAATGGCCATCATCAAGAAGTCAAATAACAATGTCTGGTGAGGCTGTGGAGAAACTAGCCCTTCTCCACTGCAGGTAGGAGTGTAAATTAATATAACCAGGGTAGAAATCAGTGTGGAGATGGCTCAGACTACTCAATCTATAAATTGCACTAGACCTGGCTACCCTATGTATCTTTCCCAAAGAGTTAAAGACATCATATCCCGGAGATACACGCACACCCATGTTTACAGCAGCACAGCTCACAATAGCTAAATCTTGGAAGCATCCTGTATGTCCATCAACAGATGAACAGATAAAGAAAATAAGGTATTTACACACAATGGAGTACTACACTGCCATAAAAAGAGAAACTTGAGTCATTTGTAGAAAAAAGGATGCACCTTGAGATCAGAATGATAAGTGCAATAAATTGGACACACAAGCTTAAATATCACATGGTTTCTCCAATATAAGAGCTTCAAAATGTAAATAAAAAGCAAAATAAAAGATAGATAATCAAAAGTAGGGGGACAGATCTTTCTCAAATGGGAAGGTGATCAAGAGATGGAGGGGGAAGGGGGATGAGAGAAGAATTAATATGTGTTCTGTACACGAACCAGCTCCTCGCAAGGAATGTGATCTTGCGTACTGCAAACACAGACTAATAAAAATGAAAAGTCAGCAGAAATTGAAAATCTTGCCTTAGTCTGCTTTAGTGCCAGAGCTAGGGAGGGTCGAGTGAGTCTAACGTCACTGCCACCATCACAGATGCTGTTCAAGCAAACACTTGAAAGCAAAGCACGACAAGTGACTAAGTGCAACTGCGCTCGACTTGACTGCAGACATGTTCAAGACGCTGCAAAAGATGGACTGAGTAATCCACATTCCTTCTTCTCTGAAAGCACACACATTTTACCTGTGTAGACACTTACAGTGTGTTCATGTTTGCCATGAAAGAAGGCTCTAGCCAGCTCCTACTTCTCTCTCTAAAATATACAAGGAAGTTATAACTGTACAGAAGTGAGCTTTAGTGGGAAACACAGTAAATTATCAAACACATTCATTTCTGTTTCTCCCCCTTTTTGCCAGTATGTGTTTGCGACACATGATCAATGCATTCACTGTGGGAAATCAGCATGGACAGACTGCACCTCGATGGTTTTCCTGAGTCTTCCCATCCCTGCTCCCTGCTCCCCATCCCAGGCTTCTCGTCTACCTAAAGCCCAGATCGCCCCATGAAGGAGCCTCCAATCCAGTCTTTCCTCCAGCATCTGAAACCACAAGCATGGAAATTTTTCAGGTGAATGAGCGGTGTGACCTAGCCTCAGGTATAATTGAAAATAAAATTATACATAGAAGAGGAGCACTAAATTCCATTAAAGTGGCAAAACAAAATATCAAGTAAAAAACACTGTCAATTAGGTCACACTTGTTCAAGAAATTAGGTTACATCTTTGATATAGAAAAACATTCATTCTCACTTCAAAATAAAATAGCTTCTTTTTTAGTTCATCTCATAAAATTCTATTACAAGAATTTAAGAGCCATTTCTTTTCTGGTATTGAAAATAGAAAAAAAAACTTTAGCCATAACCTCTGCTTTCTATGCATTTTCTGCTTCCATCTGACAGATCTTATCTTACCATTCCTTCTTACATGTCTGTCCTCTTGATTTTACTATCTTATTCTCTCAGCTTGTAAATCTCACTGTCCACCCCTTCTTTGTCCAATCCCAGTGTTCTGATCCATCCTTCCCATTTCTTTTACCACCTGGAATCCCAGGGTACCCTAATCTCCACTCCCCTTGCCTTACAAAGCTCCATAACATTTTCTCCTTTGCTCTTCTTTCTAAGTAAGGATAAAGAAAATGAAACTATATCAACATAGTAAATAGGTCTCCTACAAATTCACGCTATTTTTTCTAAGAAGAACCCCATCTTGTTAAGGTTTTTGTTACTCATTTGTAGTGTCTTGCTATA